CACACCTCTCTTCGTTGACAGACATGTCTCAATGTGAGTTGGGTAGTCTATTCAAGAAAGAACTACATGACAACCCATCTGGGCACAGAGCGTACTACCTTCCTCAGTCAACAAGAAAACGACGAGTGAAGCTGAATTTCGACAAGTCCCCCCGTCCCCGTAAACTCCATGCAATGCCAAACGAAGCAGACGGCGGGACGGTCCTCAATCCGTGCCGCGCGACTCGAGCTCCAGTACAAGATTCCGAATAAGAACACAAGGGGAAAACAAGAGTTCACCGGTGCCGTTGCCTCCTTATCATTCAAGGGGGCGGCGGTGACTGTGATAGAGGTGATGGTGGGCGGCGAGTCGCCCCTTACTCTGGGACGAGACTTTTTTCTTCTTACAAAAGAACGATGCGCGTGAGGGGGCTTGAGTTTAAAATTGATAAAAAAGGATAAAAACGACAGCAATGAAACGACGCAAAAGGTTCGTGGTGATGGTGCTAAAACGAGAATCAGTCGCCCTTCTCCTTGGCTTCCTTCTCCCACGTCTGGAGCATGGCGGTCGCGTTCTGGAGGATCAGTGCCGTCTTCTCGACGAGTTTGCTCGCGAGGGTCCAGTCGCGCGCCTCGACGGCGTCGCGGATGGCGGGGAAGGTCACGGGGTGGTTGCCGGACCATGCCTGGGGGCCGTAGACGACGTGTTTGAACTGGGCGCGGTTCGGGATCTTGAGTGTTCTTGTTAGCCTGATTGGTGAGAGAGTATCGGAAAGGAGATTTTAACTTACGCCGCCGCCCTGGTCGAGGTCTAGTAGCGCCGTCTCGAAATCGGCCATGTGCGTGTTGAACTCAATGCGCAAATCGCCCATCTTGCTCGACTCCCAGCCGCCGCCGCCCATGACGTTCGACTCCCACGACATCTCCCACATGGCGAAGCTCTTGAGGCCGATCTTGACGATGTCGACAACCTTCTTCAAAGGATCGATGGAGAACTTGGCCTTGTCGATGTTGCTGCGGTCGCAGAAGTTAGAGAGGTCGTTGACGTAGCGCTCGATGCGGTCGCCGTAGCCCACCATGTCGAATGGTAGGACGGGCTTGTCCGCGAGCTCGAGAATCAAAAGGCCGACGATCTGGCCCATCATGGCGTGGTAGGTGAACTCTGGGTCGCCGATGCGCTGGACCCATTCGTAGTTGTCGTAGCTGGATTGTTTGGGGTAGCGAGCACCTCGGAAGCCCAGATCGAGAGAGCTCGTGCCGGCGATGGTCTGGAAAGGGACGTAGTCACCATCCATATCCAGCTCTTCGAGATCGGCCTGGCGCTGGTCCCAGAGACCGCGCAGGGTGTTGTTGAGGTTCTCGTCAAAGACGCGGTCAATCACGCGGAGCACCGATTGCTTGAAGACGGGAGAGCCTGCGGCGTGGAACTCGGTGCCTGCGACAGCAGCGTCTAAGTTCACGTAGGCGAAGGCGTTCTTTCTGAGGGACTCGTCGTTGTGCTCGACAAATTCGGTGGAACCAATCATGTTGTACTCCTCGGCGTCCCAGGACATGAACTCGATGCTTCGAAGGGGGCGCCAGCCCTTGCTGACGAGTGATCCGAAAATGCGCGCCATCTCGATGAGGACAGCTGTGCCAGAGTGAGGCTCGGTAGCGCCAAATGCCCAGGCATCGCGGTGGTTGCCGATGATGATGGACTTGGCGTCCTGCTCGATACCCTCGATCTTTCCGTAGACGTTCCAAATAGCCTTCTCCTGAACAACGTCGTTGTCGTTCTTGAGACGGACGATGGGCGATGAGAGGTTGCCCGTCCACCACTCGGCGACATCAGGGACACCTCCTGCCCATTCCTTCGGCACCTGCTCTCCAAATCCCTTGATGTGTTGCAGCAGAATCTGAGCATCACGCCACGCGAGGGGCAAGCTCGGAATCTTCTGCAGGCCTGGCGTCTCGTCCGGCTTCATGCGCGGCAGGTTCTTCTTGCTCTCCCAGCCAGGGGTAAGGGGGTCGCCAATCACCCAGTTGGACAAGGCGACGGTTCCTCTCTGGACACCATCCGCAGGCATGAAGCGGCCATTGGGCGCGACGTCTCCCATCCTGAAGCCGTCATCCGCCGGGTCGCTGTAGACGATGCACCCCGCAAAGCCGGCCTCTTCCGCCGCCTTGACCTTCAACGCCAGGTTCGCCTGCGGGCCGTAGTATCGAACTAGCGCAATCGCGCCTTTGGTGTCGATCCCGCTGTCGGCCAATTTCTTGAAATCCGATCGTGCGCCGTAGTTGGCGTAAATGAGGGGTCCCTTGACGTCCCCGGACTTGGACAGACCGTGGAAGACCAGAGTCTGGTGCCCCGCCGCCTCTCCGCCCACTTCCTCCTCTTCCAGCTTCGCGGTCCACTTCGCCTTGCCGTCGTCGGCCAGTATCTCGACCGCTCGTCCGCCGGCCTTCGGGTAGTTCATATATACGTAGTACTCGTCGATGTTGACGTAATCCAGCCCGGCCCTGGTGAACATGGACTCGACGTCCATGGCCAGGGCGTAGTCGCCCTCGGTTCCTGCCATGTGGGCGTACTTTGTGTAATGGGCCACGGAGGCGCGCAGCCTGCGGGCCTCGACGTTGCCCTGGACAAACTGGCGCACGTCTTCGGGGTTGAAGCGCAGGCCGCCGTTCATCCTCCTCGCCATGCTCGTAAACAGGTCGCTCATAAACAGGGCGTACAGAATGCCCATGACAAACAGGATGGCAAAGACTCGTATGAATATTATAATGGCCGCCCGCGCCTTGTCCTTGTCCCAGTTTGGCAACGCCTCCCGCAGCCTCCTCCTCGCTGATGTCGTGGTCGTGTTCACATCGTTGCCATCGTTGGAATTGTCGTTGGAGCCGGAGGGTAGCCGGATCGTAGGGCGCTGTATCCTTGGCAGCCGCCATCGCCAAGACCACTTCCAGCGGGACAGGGAGAGGGCGAAAGGTATCCTCTTGCCCCATATTGAGGAGCGCGACCTGTCGTCGGGCTCGCCAATCTCCAGCTCTTGCATTTCCCTGCGCACGTACGCCGTCTCGTCGCCATCGTCGTCGCTCCAGGAGCTGTCCTCGTCGTCGGTCTCGACCGTTGGTTGGCGGTAGCCGCCGGGGCGGCGGGAGGAGGTTGCGGCGCCATTGCGGTGCAGCAGGGACTGCGACTCGGTCTCGGTCTGTGAGCGGTCGTCTATCGGGGAGCGCGGGGGGTTCCAATCGGACGGATTTGCCGGGCCGCCGACGGCGAGGGCTTCGTCGTACGAGGGGATTGGTGGTACGGACTCGTACCGGTGGTCGCGATCCGACGGCATCGTGGCGTGTGTGTGTGTTCGGTGGTCCCGGGAATCAGGGGTTATGCGATGACGAAAGGGTGTTTGGTTGGTTATAGAGGACGGCTGACGGCAGGCATCAAGAGACGCAGCAGCGAAGGAGCGAGATTAGTTATCAAAGCCGGAGATGCAGTCCGGGTAGCGAAGGAGTGTATGTGTTCTTTGTGTGAGGATCGTGGGTGCAGGTGCAGATGAGATGCAACGCAACGCAATGCAGTCGAGTACTATCGAAGAACAGGCGCGCCCATGGATGCCGCTGCGGTACGCGCAGACATTGACCGGGTCTAGAGTCTATCGGGGCGGAGAGGAGGAGGACGAGTCGAGTGTCGTTGTCACGATACCATCCCGGCAGGCGGCAGCAGGTGAAGGGGTCGATGAGGGAGGTCTGGTCGTGTCGAAAGCACGGAGCTGGCGATCTGTGATTTGGTAATTGATTATTCGAGGTTTGGATTGTTGGAGGCGTTGCCGTCGGGTCCCGTCCCAGTAGTCTGTTCCAGAGTGGCAGTCAGGTCCTGGTCTGGTCCAGTACCATCTCAGCAAGCCGTCGTCCCGTCCGTGCTGCAGTCGCTGAATTAAACTGCACCCGCTGCAATGGACCTCAATACAGCGCTGTGGCGGCCTGTAGTCTGGCAGCAGCAGCCGCATTAGTATCCCGTCCAGGGGCCCGAACTCCCGAGTGCCTGCTGAAGCTGCGTGGCTGCCCACTGTCCTTTCTGTCTGCTCACTGCAGAGCGGACCCTGTAGTCGGCCCACTAAGCGAGAGACTAGAGCCAAAGGACCAATCAAAGACCTTCAACAGAATCTGGGCGATTACGCAGGCCTGTCCACCTCTGCCAATGAGAACCGCGGATACGGAGGGATCCCCCCACTCTGAACTCGGGGAGAAAGAGGCAGCCGCGTATCGGCCTTTGTCGCCTTATGTAATCATTTCCATTGTGTCCGTACCTTATCCAGATGCACAGGGGGCTGAAATTATGTCATCAGCACCGCCACCCTTGGCTGTCTTCCACGATGCAGTTGGCCAATGACCCCTGACACAGTCCTCAGCAAAGTTCCCCTCCTTTTCTCCATCCCTTGCCTTCCCTTCCGAGCCGTCTGCGCAATCAGCTGTGGTTGTGCAATCGCCAGCCCACAGCAAAATCCCTGACAACTCTCTCCTTTTCTGGGTGCACGCGACTGATCACTGGCGAATCTTGTTGCTCCACCGTTCCCCACTGCCCGCCACCTGTAACAGGAAAGGGCCTCCTTGCTTCCACTCTCAAACGTGCCTCCGGAGGTTCGCACAGGTTTCATGTCCCTCCATGGATGGAATTCTGGAGCTTCCCCCGGGGCCTTCCGTGCCGGCCGTGAAAATCCGGTACGGAGATACTGCTTTTGGCCCAGACGTTAGTTCCCCGGTGCACCGTATCCGAGCCCTTGCGGGCGTGCCGTGCTTCTTTTGATGTCGTCCAGATGTAAGGCTGTGATGGGGACTAACACATCTCTTAACCATAAAGCACATAGAGGTTGTATTTGCCTTGTTAGCGCTTCTATCGACGATACCCTCAAACGCCGTGCCGTCCTGTGTATTCCGATACGAATTCCGCGCCGATTCCGACATTTCCGCCCGAGAAACAATTCCCATCAAACAAACAAACATCGCTCACCAACGCCGATTCCTTCACGATCGAGACCATGATAATCATACCCGAATACCCTTTACAATCGCCATCTGGACCGTGTCGTGGCTCATAAGACACGCCAGCTCCAGCGTAATCGCGTGGTGGAAGTACGCCGCCATCGTCCCGGGGCAACACCCAGCTTCGTTTCGCGCAGCCTCCGCCACGAGCTCGGCCATCGGGTACCCTTCCGAAAGACGTCCGATGATTAACTGGTTGGCTTGGATCACGAGAGGCACGTCCGGATACCAATCTGCGGCCGGTGTGGTTAGCAGGCCCTCTTTGTCCGCGTCGCGACTTTGGTCTACAAACCTCGGTCAAAGATGAAGTGCTTCCTACAGAGGGTCAGCAACCAGTCAACAGCCTCTAGCGTCGGGAAAATCATCGCTTACGATGGCAATTCTAATGTCGCCGTCGCATTAGACGCGCTCGAGCGGCTTGAGCCGCTGCAGCTGCTTTGTGCCCTCCCGCGCATGCTGTTTCCTTTGTTTCGTCCGTTCTCGGCCACTTCGTGCATTTCCCGACCGGCGATTATTTCTGCCCTTTGTGATTCGATTCAGAGCATTCCAATAGACATGGAATGTACACTTCTACTCTTCCAGAATATTCGTACGTACGCGCCTATTATACGCCCAGCGGCGTGCATTTTGCGTCGCCCATGAGCGTGTTTGAGCACATTTTACTCAGCAATGCGCGCCACAATCCATCCAACCAACAAAACCAACTCTTGGTAGTTGGCAAATTTGCTCAGACAAAAAACCACCTCTTTCGCAAGTCCCTCACAGAAGCCCAATTGACTTAATTGCCTTCCATTGTAGAATCGCCAAGTTGCGACACTAGTAATCGTGGGGGCATGACACTCCCACCTTTCGAACCTGCACGGTTTGCCTCAGGTCCAAATAGTAGGTGGGATAATCCAGCCCCTACGAATTGCCAGCAATTGAAACCTTTTGTTTTTCGGCATGATGTTTTCTCAGAGAAAAGACACCTCTTTCGCAATTGCCTTACAACAACCCAATTGACTTAATTGCCCTTGTATTGCCCTTGTAGAGTCGCCAAGTTGTGGCAGCAGGAATCGTGGGGGCTGATTAACGCTTCCCCCTTTCAAACCTCCACGGCAGCCGTTAAAGCGCCCGAACAGGTCCAAAGAGTACGATGCATCATTCGGCCCTTCCGAATTACCAGCAATTAAACTACAACTTTTTTCGCCACAACTTGGGGTATTGCATCGGTACCGTCTGCAGGCCCGCGGAGCCTTCCGTTTCGTAGGTAACAACCCCCCAGAATCGGGACTAGGGCCGTGGCGATCGATCGCGTTCGAGAACTTTGGGGGAGAAAAAGGCAGTTTGCCTGTCCAACCAACGAACTTCGTGTTTTCGTTGCATCTCCGCGGAGAAATGCGCAAGGAACTCTCTTCTAGGTAACACTCGCACGTGTTCCTATAATTTTCGTCCGCTACAGTCCCAATTGGGAACTACTGGTATTTGGAAAACAATCAGCCAACCGTGATCTGGCAACCGTCTGAAAAACGAACTTGTGGGGGAAGGGGAGTTGTTGGAACCTGTCAGAGTCTGAGCAACACGGCTCTTGAAACTTGACGGATTGCCAGTTGTACAGTCCTCGTAGATAGGCGGAAGCTTGTATAGTCTGAGTCGCATTTGCTTATTTCTTTCGTATTCGTAGCTGTAGTCATGTTTCGACGTGAGACACGTACCTGCCCGCTGCCGTCCTGCAACTGCAGGAATTTGAGCTCCAGCTGGCAGAACGCAATTTTTCTTCCTTCTGTGCTATTTTCCTGCAAATAGGAAACGATTAACATGTGTCTCAAAATCGTTGCTTTCGTATTTAATCACTTACAATGTGCCTATTCGGCCGCTGCTTCACATCTAGCAGCCCAGATTACGAGCTACAGTCGTCTGCAAACCCTGAGCCATCCTAGTTTTCACAAGACGGGTTGATTTCGGCGGGCTATCACGAATTGAAAAAGGTGGTTCTAGTTCAATCTCGTTCAATCCGTCACGTTTCACCCGTCCTGTACACTCGGGGAGCCGCCCGAATTGTCATCTGCCAAGTTTCGTGCTTGTCATGCGGCTCCAACGAGGGGACGACGCCTAAGTCCGATCTCCTAGCCGCGGGGATGACTTGTTTGTCAGAACAGATCAAGTACAAACAGGTTCGTGAGGGGATCCCGTTGCATGGCCTAGTACACGCCGCTGGCACCTAAGCTTGGCAAATTGCCGGTTCCTGTTCATCGGACTCGAGTTAGCCAACGTCCAACCCGTTTGTGTTTCCCATTTGGTTCAATAAATTGCCAAAAACGGTTGAAAAAGGGACTGTCCACTTACCGTGTGGAGGTTCTGATATCATTGTGTTTCCCTTCTGAGCCTTCGTAAGGCTCCAACGAATGACCGCAATTGGTTTCACGGCCATAGACGCAAGACTGGACATGCGAAGTCCGAAGCAAATGAACCGAGAAAAACAGCGAGAAAACGTTCAATTAGAAAGCCTGGTATATGTCGCTAACGACCAGCTTAACGATCCTGTCTAGCAGAGCTCGAATTAGCAACTGCCCAATCTGTTGCGTTTCTCTTTCCTTCCAACAATTCCCAATAAGCGATAGGGAATGGACTGATAACTTACTGCGCGGGTTTCCTGACATCGTTTGTTGCCCTTCCAAGCCGTCATGTCCGCTTCTCATGTCGTTGTTGGCAAGCGATGCGATCAGAATTTCTCGCCTATAGCCAACTGCAAACATTTGCGTCAAGCGCGCCTGCAACAATACAGAGTCTCGTCAATTCCAAGCGGAGTTGTTCACCTACGATATTCTTGCCCATCTTGCCCTTCATCCGCATCTTTACGATTTTGAGAGCAGTCGTTCCGATTCTGGCCAAATTTTTCGATTCGTAATTAATCCTTTCTGTTCTGGGCGGATGCGTCGGGTGCGAAGCCTGCATGTTGTTAGCAATTACTCCTCCTTGTCGTCACATCATCAATAGTTCGGTTTCCCCCGGAAACCCCGAATAATTCAACGACCGCGCGTACCTTTGATGTTTGGCAATTATTTCTTTCTGAGTGTTAGCCTGTAATCCAAATCCGTCGTAAATGCGCTCATCAGTGCATGAAGTCCTGTCGTTCTGTAGATCTCGCATTAGCCCCTCTATGTACAACAAGCGCTTTCTTATTCGTCACCTTCCGCTGGGAACGAATAAACAGAACTTATCCCAAGAATCTCCTTTTTTTTTTGGAAACCATTCGTCTGAAAACTTCGGTTCGAATCACCTATTTTCACCCATCACTTTCCTTATTATTTCGTCTTTGGGAAACATGATGCTGTTATCACGAATCGTTCGACTAAATTCTCCCACCGGTTCCGTAAGGATGGGGGGTGCATTGAGAGTCCAGTTTTCGAGCCATTCAAGTTGTATTTGTTGTATTGTGCTGTACAACAGGTCCAAGCAGTTGATCGACTAAGCCATCGAACCTGAATCTATCAAACTCTGCAAATCTCGTATTAGCCAACTATTCTCCACGCTCTGGCATGCTGTTTGTAACTTGTCGTAGAGCGTGCCAAGAAGGAAAAAGAAAAGAAAAGTCAACTTACACCTCTACGAATAGCCGTTGATGGATAGTTCCGCTACACCGCTCTCCCCCACGTCAACGAACCTCTTCCTTCCATACCCAGAAGAAACGTTCGACAGGCTCACTGCATCTGCATACTGACCGCTGTCTCAGAAGCCTTACCGCTGAACCCTCCCTACATAGATGTATTAGCAAAAGTCGGTTTCGGAAAACAGCGGAAAAGACGGGATTTGGGACAATTCGGTTTCTGGAAATTTAAGCCTAAAATGTCTCAGAGAGCGGTTTTCTCGTATCGGCTTTTGTTTCGCTAAAAAGACCCGTGTCGGCAAAGTTGATGATTCTGCAAGTTCTGCATTAGCGAAGTCGACTAAGAGCCTCAGCTGGTACGATTAGAGGCTTGCTCTTTTCTTCTTCCTCCAAACCCCAGAAGAAAGTCAGTACACTTTGCCGCGATCGATCTGTGTCTCGGATTCCTCGCAGTTTTCGGCCAGCTCGGCCCCTGCTTAGCCGTGCCAAGTTCAGCCTCCGGTCGGCAGCAGACGCGCCATGTGTCTCTTGTGTCTCATGCTTCTCTGCGGTTCTCTCTGTGTCCGTTCTGTCTGCCCACGGCAAGGCAGAAAAAAGCAAGCATGGAGCTGCCGGCGAGAAGATCACGACGTAGGAGCCGATGATTGGGCCGCTGCGGTCGTCTTGCTGCCAGATCGTAGCGCCGCTAGGTGCCCTAACGTTCTTCTTTTGCTCGAAACTCGCATTAGTGTACCATTCGATCTAGGAAGTGTAGCCCGGTGCAACTCTGACAGCTTGTAAATTTCATTTACCTAAGTTTTCCTAGGAGGACGGTGTCCCCCTCACCGGCAATACTTGCTCCCTTTTGTGTGGTTTGTCTCGTCGTTCCACGTTTCGCACAGGTTGCTAATCCCTCTTTTGATGCTGTCTCCGGAGGAGGGAGGGGGTGTGTGAAGTTCGGCGGCATCTCTACTCCAGCTTCTCCCCCAGGATTCCCGTTAGACTCCGCCTTTGGGCAGGGAGGCTGTTCAGAAATGAGCTGATATGCGGAGTCGTCCCGCGTATGACTTCGTCGCTCGCTATAATTCGATATTGTGTGGCGCTTCCGTCTTGTTGAGAGTCCAGTCTGTTGCCTTTCGCTGTTTCTGTCGCTCTAGGGAGAGAGGCGTTTCGGTCTGCCCAGGCGGACAACGACAACAACTACATACCTTTGCTCTAGTTGCCTGGTCTGCTTCTCTGTTTTTTCTCCCCCGGGTGAAGGGAGATAGGGGCAGGCAGCGAATAGTGAATGGCAACGTCACATTCGTCTGGTAGGCTTCTCCTTGGTAGTTGATGGCGCCAGTGGGCCTTGGCGAGAGCCGTGATCGTAGCCGGGTCGTAGTGTCGCGGATGCTGATGCTGGATCGATCTTTGTGTAACGTGTTCACGCCTCACCGGATCTTGCCCTGGGTGGATCAATCATTGCTTCTTCTTCTTCTTCTCATTCAACTACGATACAAAACTAGTAGCCATCAGGCCTCTCCGATGATCTTCTTTTCGCTTACCTGGGCGAAGCATCTAGTTGAGAGGGGCTGACTTCAGGTGGTTGTTGGTGTCAGCCTGGCCGCGGGAACCGCGCTTGTGCTCGCTTGCTAGAGGTGTGGTTCCGCGTCACAGGACCCCTGGCCAACCTGAACCAGAAGACTACAGCAATCAACGATTGACTGTCTCAGGCATTGGAAAGACGCGATGTCTCCGTTTGTTTGAGCACCGGATACTTGGTGTCACTTCGTACATATCGTAAAGAAATTGGAAAAAAAAGTCTGCTCCGAACGGGGGTTTGAGAGACGAGGATGCCTCCTGGATATTATTAGCTCGGGGCAACGGGCAGATTTGACAATCGGGAAGCCC